CAAGGCAGGTGGCGGAACCACGGAGCTAAATCCCCGGCCCAGTACTGACATTTTTATTTCCTTTTGGGCCCAGGATCTAATCAAGACTTATGTGTTTTGATTGTTATCACGAGCTATAGCTCTTTGGCCTGTTTTAATGTATAACATTTTAATGTAGAAAATTCCTTTTTGTGATACTTTTTTCACAATTCAAAACTTAGTTGTCTTACAGGATTTCTAATCTTCTGGATTCACCTAATTATTTCTTCATTGGGTTCATGTTTGTCAAGAATACAACCTGCCTGACATAGGGTACTTAATATTGCATCATTTTAAGAGGTTCTTGTCAGGCTGTTCTGCTTTGGTCTTGCTGGTTTTGGTTACTTTTGGATAATGTGGTGATCATCAGATCTCTCTATTGTAAAGAAACATTTTGCCTTTCTTAATTAGTATTTACTAAAGGTTTTCTGGTATTATACTAAGTTCCTTATTTAAATTTTTGTTTTGTGTGTTGATACACCAGAATATTACTCATTTTTGTTTAAAGCAGCCTGGCAAAATTATCATCAACTTGAAAACTTTATCTGTAGATATGAGATTTTCAGCACAATCATATCATCTGTAAATAATGTTTTGGTTTTTTTTCTTTCTTTCTTTCTTTCCAATCCCTATGTTTTCTTTCTTTTGCCTACCTAATTTTGGTGGCTGGAATATGCATCACTATGTTGAAGTAGTAGTGGGCATCTTTGTCTTGTTTCTTTTCACAAATAGATACCTTTGGCCATTTTTCTTCCCTTCCCTTTCCTTAATACTATAGTCCTTAAGATATTAGGAGGTGGAACATAGTCTGTACGGGGTATCTGAGCTCCAGCAAGGTGAGGAAAGCATCCACAGAGAGGATATCCTAGTGTAGGGACTTGGCCTACATATTTCCTCAAAAAAAAACATGATAGAGGAGATAATTAATCCAGTAGTGTTGAAGGGGAATTAGAAGTATTGATGTGAGGTATGGGTTACATATGTACTTGTATATTTATGTGCCACTTGTACACATATATATATTTTTCCCTGAGAGGATTTGGAGCAGTGGTAGCATGAACACATGTAGCATGTGTGTCTTGGCTTCCAATATCATTGTCTGCTAAAAGAGCCTATTGAAGAAATGGCTGATTCTAAGGCTAGAAGAGAGAAAGTTTAAGAGCAGCTTGGAATATAATATGCCTAAGAGACAGGACATGCTCAAAGAATGATGGGAATATGTCAAAAGGATACAGGAGCCAGAGTGAAGGAATGTACACTGGCCTAATCTGGGACTATTTGAACACCAAAATAAATGATGATAGTAAATGATTATAACTCATTGAATAAAGTAGGGAACCATGAAATCCATGAGTTCGTACTGACAGAAATGAAATAATCGAATGACTGAAAGTTTACCTAACAGAGTATTTGCACACTTTTCAAAGTACCTCTCCTCCCCTACATACATACTCTATTCAAAGGTTGAGAAGAAGAAAAGTCTGATAGTAACCCTCTTACTCGTTGTAAGAGTGAATGTCATTTGATGGGCCACATCAAAATCATGGACCACCTTAAAAGATGAAGTATAACAGCATCACTCCTGAATATACCTGCCAGAGAGACTAGCTGAATCTGACCATGAGGAAACACAAGACATACCCAAACTTAGGAGTATTCTGTAAAACTCATCTTCAGTCTTCAAAAATGTCAATACCTTCGAAGACAATGAAACCATTCTAGATTAAAGAAAACTGAAAAGATAGGACAAATAAAGGTAGCAGACATCTGCTACATTTTTTATTGTAAAAGACATTACTAGGAGAACTGGCAAAATGAAAAATGGTGTCAGGGTTAGATGGTAGTAATTTCTTAATGTTAATTTACTGTTTGAAGATTGTATCATGGTCATATTAGAGATTGTCCTTATTTATAGAAAATATTTAACAAAGTATTTAGGGGTGATGGGACATAAGATCGACAACTTACTTCCAAGTGGCTCAAGAAAAGATTTTTGGAAATAAAGTACTTGTAACATTTTCAGAATTTGAGATTTTCAAAGTAAAAATATTATTTCAAAAAATTAGGGAAACCTTTCAACATTTTACCATGAAATGTTGGTGTATGGTGCTTGTTGAACTTTCGTAGAATTTTCTATTATGTTAAAAGAAGTTCCTTTCTATTATTTTTCTGATTTCTGAATGTTAAATATTATCACTATTCTGTATCTGTTGAAATTTTAGATAATTTGTCTCCTTTTTTAAGTAGGTTTACATAATGAAATTACTTGACTCCTTTATGATGTTAAGCTAAACTTGAATTTCTGGTGTAAATTCAATTCATTCTTGATTTATGGATTTTTTTGATATGTTGCTGGTTTGGATTTCCCAGTATTTTCTGTAGGGTTTTTGCCTCTATAATTATGAGAGAGATCATTTTGTACATTTCTTTTCTTATATTGTCCTTTTGAGTTTGGCTATTTGTGGAGTATCTCAGCCTTATAAAAATGAGTCAAGAAGTTTCTGGGGGCCGAGGTTTTGGCTTAGTGGTTCCGACAC